CTTAAAGGTGATAATAAGGAAAGGCATTACCTACCTGTTCTGAGCTGTCCATCGAACCATGGCATGCAAGCAGCAAAACTTTGGTTGGATCTCCAAGTAACGGATGAGATTGGAGTTGATCCTTGAGAGAATTTATATCATCCCAACCAGTCATAAACACCAAAATAGCACCTGGCCTTTCTTTTTTACATATATGACAAACAACATTCTCAATAAGATTGAACCCAATTGAATCCGGGTTCCAACATGACAGGGAATCCCTAGTCCACGGGTTTAACTCTCTCAAATCAGCAGCTCCAAGCGCATCCTGTTCCAAACCACAAATTTTTTTTATATTTTTTTTTAAAACAAACAAACAAACAAACAAACAAACAAGTGAATACTCCTATACTACCTCCGCAGCTGAAGCAATTTGGGTCTTCCTTTTACGAAGAGTTTGTTTCTGCATTTTCCATGATTTCTCTTGGCCATAATTATCAATTTGATTATATGTTGACAGCCTATATCCAGTCATTTCTAAGATATTCTCCAGAAAATAGCTCCGAACTGGATAAGTGAAACCCTGCCAATAAAGGCATAGTAATAGTATTATTATTAAACGCCTTCATTTTTCGTTAACATGATGAGAAACTTACAGGAATATGCATCATTGGAGCTCCACCAAAGTAGGAGGAGAAAAGCTCAGCATTTAGGGTTGCACTCATCAAAATTAACTTCAGTTCTGGTCTGCGAGGAAGAAGCTCCTTCAACACGATAAGAAGAAAATCTGCCATGAAATGAAAATTAATAAATATACTTAACAAAAATAATAATAATAAATAAATTACTCACCCTCATTCATCCCTCGTTCGTGGATCTCATCAACAATGACATGAGTTACACCTTGCAAGCTCCTGTCGAGTAGTAATCTCCTAAGCAAAATGCCGGTAGTGCAAAACAGCAGGCGAGTATCTCTTCCTTTTATTCCCTCAAGCCGAACTTTATACCCAACCTTCAAAAAGAAAAAAGAAAAAAAAAATGTTATTACAAATATTGAGACTTCATAAAAGTGTGTGTGTGTGTGTGTGTGAGAGAGAGAGAGAGAGAGAGAGAGAGAGAGAGAGAGAGAGAGAAAAGTTATTTACAGAATCTCCAAGCTTCTCCCCTCGTTCTGCAGCAACCCTCTCAGCAACTGACATAGCAGATATTCGTCTGGGTTGGGTGCAGATAATACTGCAAACTGCTCCACGAGCAGCTTCAATTTCAGACTCTAAGATGTATTGAGGTAGTTGTGTGGTTTTACCACACCCCGTTTCACCAGACACCACAATCACCTGCCAAAACAATTTCAATTTCACTACTTTCTATTGCTTCTTAGACTCCTTTTGGAAAATGGTATTACTAACCAAAAAATTTAAAACATAAACAGCACTCGAAATTAACCATAAAAAACTCCTATTGCTAACTAAAATTTGCATGAGTCTATTTTAGGGTTTTAATCTGAATCTTCGGTTGAATTTGGTCAAATTCACAGGCAGAAGCCAGGGTTTTAAACTTTGAATTGAAGAAGATGAAGAGGATGGATAGGAAGACAATAAAATAGTTATTTTACTTTGAGTCTTGACACCCGTTTTTTAACATTGTTACTGCACACGATCCGATGATCTCAAACTCTTCCTTTAGGAGGGGGATTACCTTTCAGTGAGAAGGGAGAACTACATTATTACATCTTCATGCCAAACCAAGACCTTACAACACGCAGGGCAGGCATTGCAGGATGTTCCCAGGAGAGGCCTCATCACAGCTCATATTCATATTGTTGTGTACTCATGAGAAGAACTCAAGTAGGCAAGGATGTTGTGGAAAAACTTGCTTTTAGGGCCAAGGAAGGTTGTAATAGAAACACATATTGTTACTTGTTACTCATCGGCCCAACCAACCCTTGCATTGGGCTTAAGTGAGAATCAGGTCTTTCCATAGAATATTAGGAGTGTGAATTAAGAATTTCATAATCAACTATGCCATTTTAGGTCCAGCAATATCAAGTCAAGCACTTCACACTAACATTTTCCCTGACCAAAGCTGCACATGCTAGTGACCATATTGATGCTATTGGGTGGTGGGGTCAAATCAATACGCTCTAAGAAGAAATATTTGAATATCAATCTCATAAGTATCATACCAAATCCCATCAATCGAATCACTTTTTCGAGAAATACGAGACATCTAAGTCATACAAATCAAGAGATCTATTCATTGATAAGAAAAAGAAAAAACATGAAGTCGTGAACAGAGACTGGATTGATGATAAAATAGAATCCTGGGTTGCAAACAGCTATTCGATTGATTTGATGATGAAAAAAGAGAATTCTTGGTTCAGTTCTCCACCTTAACAACAGAAAAAATGATTGATCAAATTTTATTGAGTCTGACTCATAGTGATCATTTCTCAAAGAATGACTCTGTTTATCAAATGATTGAACAACCGGGAGCAATTTACTTAATGTCAATATTATATTAAACACTTGCTATTATCCCAAAATTCCCTATATTTATACCACTAGCACTGCAATAAACAGACTATGTCAGTAGTTCAATTTTTATACCACAATTTTGAAATTCAAAACTAAATATCACAAAAAATTGAAAGTTGAAACATGAATCCAAAACACACCTGATTTCTGGAAATAGCATTTAACAATGCTTCTTTCTCTTTATATGCAGGTAGGCTTCTCCTTAGTTCTTGCATTTTTTGGCCTTCAACAGATTCCTACAGAACAAATTGATTTGTCATCAGCATCTACCGGTAAATGATACATATACATACATATATATATATATATATTAAGAATAAGAGCATATATATGATATATGATATATCCATCCGTGGAATGTAAGAATTACAATAATATACTTTTGCAAATAAGACTAAGATAAACCTGCCAATCTTGTTGTTTATTTCGCAGCTGAAAACTCTTCCTCCGGAGAATTCCCTCTGCAACAGGACTTTGTCTGAGAGGCTCATCAGCCTCACCAACAAGACTCTCGGATGTTCTTGATGTAGGTAAGGTGTTATTTGGATAACCATCTCTGGTAGCAGACTTTTGTGAAAGGTATGATTTTAGATGATAATCAACCCGGCTGTGTAGTTCTGAAGGAAGAACCACCTGCAATATTCATGGATGCTCATAAACACATGCATTAAGTTTCAACAAAGCAAGCGACATACATGAGTACTTACCTCTCTTTGCGGCCGTTTATCATCTAAATCTGATCTGTAATTTGGCAACGCAACTTTACTGAAGACAACTACTTTTGAATATTGGTGGCTGCAAAGATTATCAACAAGACAAGTCAATAGTTTATATTAGTGTTTCACGTGTTGTCATATTTTTTGAACATCATTCATCCAGAAACTACTTTATCTAGACAGCAGTTAATGGGACTGCGCCAGGTGATACTCATACCTATGTAAACCCATCCGAGTAGCTAGTGCTGAGAGTTGCTCAAAATCTCTTCTGTCTTTTCTCTCTCGTGAAACTACCTCTTGCTCATCTTTATTTCGGATTAGTGTAGTTAGCTTCCACTGCCATTCTTCAATGTTATCAAGAGTGGAAGCCCCCTGATCAACAACACGACAAGTAGGGCGACATTTTAGCTGAATAGAGATAAGGCGTGAAAATATTCATGCCAATTCCCAATTGCTGTTTTTTTTTAAGATGTTGTCTTTTCAGTTTAAGACTACCGGAAGGATTTGCGATACTTGTTGCAGAAACCTCACGGTAAGCACTTCTAATAACGGAAAGCAAAGTGCAAGAATCAAAACAGTCGAACAAAACATAAATAAAACTAACCAAACTTTGGGGCAATTGCAAATTTTCACGGTCAGACTCCTCCTCGGAAGCATATTCGTCGTAGGCGTAGCGGCCGTAGGGCAAACTTTGCTGGTAAAAGTAAGGTAACGAGTAGGAATCTTTATTTCTCGTTCTCTTAATTAGGTGTTTGGAAGAAGAAACATGAGAAGAAGACGAGGAGCAAATTAACACCAGCGCAGGCCTCGATGATGGAGGAAGAGGTCGGATGAGTCTAGGGCTTAAATGTAGGCGACGGCGGAGCTGAAATGAACTAGTCCTGAGTGGGTTCAGAGATACTCTGAGGTAATTCTGGATGAAAACTGCGGGGTAAGGCATGATGAAAATCTTGGGGTTTCTTCAGTTCATCGTTTTCGAGGGAAAACCACAGTTTCGTGGAGGGTTTTAGATGGGGTTATGGCGTTGTCCGTTGAAGGGCCAAGAAGCTCTCGACAGTCTTGCGTGGAGGTGGAACGGGCACATGAGTATTTATACATTTACTATAAAAATAAAATTTAAGACCTATTGGTTAATCATGGCACATGTGATGATGATAGGAAAGTTTAGGCTCCATTGCGGTTTCGGACCGCGGTTCGCGCCAGCTGGACCGCGCACACCGCCCCCAGACCGCGGTCTTGCGCGGTTTTGGCCGCAGTGTGGTCTTTCAAAACCGCGTTTTGTGATTGATTGAGAAGAATTGGGAAGAATTGTCGGTTGTTGGTTGTTTGATTATTTATTTATTTATTTCTTTTGTTTTTTCTTTCTTATATATATACATATCAACTTCACTTTTTTCACAACACAATCTCTCCTCTCTCAAAAAAAAAGAATCACCACTCTCTCAAAAACATGGGTGGATTTAGGGGGGTCACCGGTGGCACCAGCAACCTCTAACTTTTCAGGTTGCAGTGTAAAATTTTTATTTTTTTCTACTATCGTGCAACCCCTAACTTTCCTATACACCCCCTACAGTGAAATCATGCGTCTGCCCCTGCTCAAAAATGTCATCTTTTTCATCTTCTGAAGAACTTCAGACTATTTTTGATACCGCTATTGCGTGTGTTCAAATGGTGGAACAAACATACAACGTTGTATGTAACAACGCAGCTGCAAGTTCTCAACGGAGAACACGAATATATATTTGCAGAAATCGTGAAGAAGCCAACCAACGTTTGGTGCAAGACTATTTTGCAGAAAATGTCACTTACCAAGGGTATTATTTTCGTAGGCGCTTCAGAATGCTCAAAGGTTTATTCGAACGTATAGTTGAACATGTAATGAGGGAGTGCAGTTTTTTCAAACAACGTTACGATGCTATAGGTATACCCGGTTTCACTCCCTTACAAAAATGTATGATCGCACTTCATCGGTTAGCATATGGCATTCTGCCTGATGCGATAAACGAAATTTTTAGGATGTCTGCTAGGATCGCACGTGATAGTCTCCATTTTTTCTGCAAAATTGTGATTCAGTTTTATGGTCCAAAATATTTACGTAAGCCTACACGTAATGACATCTTGCAATTGCAAGCTCATAATGCTAGTGTGCATGGGTTTCCTGGAATGCTAAGAAGCTTAGATTGTCTCCATTGGGCATGGGAAAATTGTCCTACAACATATCATGGGCAATATACTCGAGGTGATCATGGTCACTTAACGGCCATACTTGAAGCAGTTGCATCACAAGATATGTGGATTTGGCATGCTTTTTCTGTTTCTCCTGGTTCGATTAACGACATCAACGTTCTTAATCGTTCACCAATATTTAACAACCTATACGATGGATCTGCACCAGATTCTTCTTTTCAAGTACGCGGAACGCCATATAAGTATGGTTATTATCTGGTCGATGGAATCTATTCTGAGTATGCTGTGTTTGTTAAATCGTTTACAGGTCCACATGGTTCTAAACGAAAGAAATGCAAGAGAGCTCAAGAAAGAGCTAGGAATGATGTTGAGCGTGCTTTTGGAGCTCTGAAGAAACGATGGTTCATATTGAAAAAACCAGCAACTTATTTAGGCGAAAAAAAACTTCAAGAAATCATGTATACATGTCTTATATTGCATAACATGATTATTGAAGATGAAGGAAGAGTGATATGTGCGTTAGACGAGGAAGAAACCATACCAGAGACACAACCGATAGAAATTGGTGGCGAAGAGTATATAAACAAGAGAACAGAGATACGTTGTACTGAAACATTTCACAATCTTCGCAATGACTTTGTGGAACACATTTACGGGGTTCAAAACATTAACCTTAATTTGGATCCACCGGATGACCCCGAATACGAGTTTTCGGAGAACGACTTTATGTAGTTTGCTTTAATTATTTTATTTGTGTTTTTTAAGTTTCTAGGATTATTTAAATGTCATGTGTGTGTGTTTTGTGTTTTATTTTTATTTTTTTTATTTTTTTTGGTAATGCAATGTAATGTTTTTATTTTTTTTTATTTTCAAGTAATGAAAATTTATTTTTTTTATTAAAATAGAAGTTTTATTAAATTGAAATAGTTAAAAAAAAAGTTTTATTAAATTAAAATAGTTAAAAAAAAAAGAAGAAGAAGAAGTTTTATTAAATTAAAATAGTTAAAAAACACAAAAAAATAAATAAATAAAATAAATAAATGTGTGGCACCACTCCCTTGGTGTGACAAGAAACCACACTTGAGTGGTAAAAAATGACATGGCGCTTATGTGGCAAGGGAGGGAGTGCGGTTTCGATGGCACCACACTTGAGTGGTAAAAAATAACATGGCGCTTATTCGTTCTGGTCTAGGGTATACTATAAGAACTGACCGGGCAGGTGGGCAATAGTTTAAGTTATGGACAAAATATGTGAATTTAAGAATAATATAATGTGTATGTATGTAAATTTAAGAATAATATAGTATTTACGTGTGGACGTTGTTCTAAAAAAATATAACGAGTCAACATTGCTCCTCTACTATCGAATTAATGTGGTGTGAATATAGTGATGATCAATGACGAATCTTGGATTCAAACTCAAGTATGGTCATCTTAATTGATGTGGCAAATTATATCGGTGCGTATAAAGAAGGGACGAGGCATCTCTATCCTTTTTTGGGGGAGAAGAGTGTAACAACCCAAATTTTCAAATAAATTTAAACTTTTCAAAAACAACCCAATTCATTAAGTTATTACAAAAAGGTTTTCATTATTTATTATCAGAGTATTCCCAGGTCCATTTCATAAAACATAAACACGAGGAGCGGTACGATCACGCATTTGCCTTGCCACAGTCTCCTGAAGAACCTGAAAAACATTAAACCACAACTGTAAGCCCGAAAGCTTGGTGAGATACCCCCAAAATACCAACCACATATACCATACACATAACATGCTATCTCATAACGAATCACAAAACAACCATGCATATCGGTCTACTGTGAGACTGGTCCGCCACGTCGGGCCTTCAGTCCACCTGGTCTACCCTCCGAGTCCAGTCATGTCCTTCGAGTCTGCAGTGTGGTTGGTTCGCCCGCACCGGGCCTTCAACCCACCTGGTCCACTCTCTGAGTCTACAGTATGACTGGTCCGCCCGTACCCGGGCCTTCAGTCGGCCTGGTCCACTCTCCGAGCTTCGGCACGTCTGGTCCACCCTCGTGGGGCCTACAGCCTATCCGCACCGCTCGTTGGGCCTTCGGAACAACCGATCCGCCCTGGGTATCTTGGCCTACAACACAAAGCAGGACCCGCCTCAACCCATCTCTAGTCCAAACAACCATGTGCACATAAACATACAGTCATATAATAGTTCATATCCAATCAAACTGATCTAGCAGATCACATAGCATAACACACTCTAAGCAGGATACCGACCTAACCGATCACTAGCATAGCCTTACCCTACATACCAGGATACCGACCTTAACTAGGTCTCTAACGAATACCATCCTAACTACCAGGATGCAAACATATCAAAGCAATAACATAACAACAGATACCCGGATCTCAATCCGATAAAGGGTCGGCCTTGGTGCCTTAGACCCTGTTGATATAGTGAGGATAACTCACCTCGCAACTGCTGACCGAAAGGATAATATCACGCTGCTGCAGCCTACGACCCGAACTCCAACACTGTCAATACCCAAAAGACTGAATCCAATAAATACCAATAATTACCAAATTACCCCTGGAAATCAACTGGTCAACCCTTGGTCAAAGTCAAAGTCAAAGTCTACCCCTGACTAACTCTACTCGCCGAGTCAACCCGATGACTCGCCGAGTCCTCATACACAGAACCTCCTTCAATTTGCGTCCCAACTCGCCGAGTCACCCCGAGACTCGCCGAGTCCAACAATTCTAAGCCAACTCGCACATAACTCACCGAGTCATAGCACAACCAGAAGAAAGGTTAGGACCTCACGCCCAGACTCGTCGAGTCCAAGAACAAACTCGTCGAGTCCAAGGCTATCTGCAACCAACTCGCCGAGTTGTTCTTCCAACTCGCCGAGTTCGAACCTATCTTCAAGCTACTCGCCGAGTACACCCTTGTGACTCGCCGAGTACTCCTAAATCTGAATCCATACAGAGGCTTTCCAAGCCATGCAGAAGCTCTAAACCATAGATCTACTATTTAACAAGCCATCCATCACGTAAAGTGGCAAACTTTACGTGAATCCAAAGAGATCTAGGTATTTACTTTCTAGGGCTAGGGTTTGGGACAAGGTAGCTTCACCAATCACTCATCAACAGGGACTTTACCACATATAAGACCATTCTAAATCTAGATCTGAAGTAGCATCCTCAGATCTAAGCTTTTATCTCAATTTAGATGTCATATCAACCACCACACATGAACCCATGAAGAAAATAGCTTATGGAAATGGTTCCTTACCCCAAGAATGAGCCCAACCAACTGTAGATTCCTGATCTCCCCCAAGCTTCCTGATATAAGCCTCCAATCTTCAAGCTTAAAGCACCAAATATCTTTCTCCAAGCTCTAATTCACTTAATAATGGGGTCTCCTCACGGATTTAGGGCTTCTGGAACTCAAGGAATGATAAGGAGGCTGGGAAGAAGATATGATGTTCTTTATATAGGGCTCAACCCTCGAAATCAGGGTTTTCCATACACAACGCCTACTTGCCGAGTCCATCCTTGGACTCGCCGAGTTGGCCACTTAACACGCGACCTGAGTCGCGACCCTACTCGTCGAGTCCACCCATGGATTCACCGAGTTGACCTTCAATTTTACACTTTTAGCCCTTCAACTCTACTCTTGATATTTCGGGATGTTACAATTCTCCCCCACTTAAATTAGGCTTCGTCCTCGAAGCCTACAGCAACTCAACTCCAAAAATACTCCCACAACAC